AAAAAAAAAAACAGTTGAAAGAGAAGAACGTAATTGATGATTTTGGATGTACTGCCAACAACATTTAATTTATCATGTGCAATATCAATATCATTTTGATAATATCATTTTATATTTGATTCGTTTGTTTTTCATATATTTTACACACTCATTATTACAAACAAGGTAAGAAACATGAGGTTACTTTTTAACATTCAAGTATAAAAAATACTTTGAAAAAGATGGAAAATATAATACAGAAATCTGAGACTCAATGTTTTATTCTTAAAATATAAATAAACGCTGAGAGAAAGAGAGAGAGAGAGAAATTGCTTATATATTTAAAATAATTTTAAGTAATTTCTAGTATAGGAATTTTAGTTTCAGTCATTCAAGGTATATTACAAAAATTTAATATATATTAAAAATTAAAATTAATACAGATAATAACAAATTTTGATTTATTTTTTAAATTTTAATTTATTTAATACGGTAGATTTGTACGAAAAATTTGTTTACCTGTACAGGGAACTCTTGTTTTTCTTGACAGGCAATCTTTCCTTTTCATTAACTTTCTTAAATCCCTTTTGTATATTATTTAATTCCGATTCCCAAATGGCAACTGCTGCCATTACTTCCGCGGCTTTTTGTTGTAAATCTAGAAATGCTGTTACCTAAAACGGATACAACACATTTTTAACATAAAGTTAAAAACTGGCATGAAACACTATGACATCACAGATATGATTAGTAATATTTTTGTTTTATCTGCAATCAAAGCAATATATATATATATATATAATCATGATATAATAATAAAATTATAATTATAAAGTAAATATATAATTTGCATCTCAATTTGCTTATAATGCTACATTATATTACATTATATTATGTATAATAATTACAGAGAAATAAACTATTAATATAACTCAATTTTATTATAAATGTTGCCTACAGCATACACATACACATACATATATATATATAGGAGATATAATCTTTGTGTATATTGCAAAATGATCTGAGCCGTTCAAGTTTCAAGAACACAAAAATGACGAACATTTCTTCTATGCAAGCACTTCCTTGCTGATAAATTGGCGAACGAACAAAAATGAAATATGCAGAGCAATGCAGTTGACGTTCTCTGCCGCAAATCCCGCACAGTGTGCAACGACGCGTCGCTAAATTGCGGCCAATCGCCGGCATAAAGAGGGATGAAAGAAGAAGAGGAGAGAGATAGATGGAGAGCGAGAGAAAGGTGAAGCTTTGTGCTTTCTGGCACTTACGGTACCCCAAAGTCGTACCACTGGCAGTCACGTGGCGAAGCGTGCGGGCCCTTTGTACTTATCCCGGCCCCTTTTCTCTCTCTCGCTCGTCCAGGCCGTTTGATCGTCATGAGGATTGCCACGATTCAACGTGCGAGGACACGTGTACTAAATAGGCTTGGTGGCCTAAAGCCTGTTTGCGTCGGTGATGGACCTCCGACGTTGCGATGATTCGCCAATGTCGTAATATGTGACGAGGAATTTTTACGAACCGATTTACTACCATCTTGATAAAAGCTAGGAAGTACATAAACAAATGAAATTTATTTCGGCATGCTTTCCGTTCTATTGATATTTAATCTTGGGACACATAATTCCTCTTCAAGATTGTACTTAAATCGTCGGGGAGATAGAAATAATTCTGTAAATGCTTTATAAGTTTCATATATGTACATATAACACAATAGAGAAAAAGATGATAGTATGGACCATTCTCTTTATTTTAGACAAAATATTTAATTTAGAATGTAATTATTGCATATCAATAATCACATTAGTAGTGTTAGCAAATATATCTCTTATTATATAATATATTAGTAATTAAAAAAATCTGTCAACCTCTGTCCTCGATTTTTTATTCGACCGGTATGCGTTCAATAATTTTTAAGTTTAAAATTCTTTCAGTTATTAAAAAAACTGGTAAATATAAAATAACAACACAAGTATAAGTTAAAAAAAATTGAACGCATGCTCTGATCAAATGAGGAATCGAGGGGGAAATTAGAATACCATATAAAGAATCTGATAAGTAGTGTCGCCTCAGATGTAGTCATACATATAATTTTACGTGTTTTTTATAACCGGAAATGTGTTTAAAAATATACAGAAGAGAATTTTATCTGCTAAAATAACACACCTACTTCATTTTTTTCAGAATAATACGGATTTGTGGCATTTATTTACATGCATTCGTCGAGGAAAATCGTTTAAACGCCTTTGTCGTCGTTTTTTCGCGACACTCAGGTGCGCCGATATATTTCACGCCAATCAGGTATAGACAGGGATACGCATGCCGATAAAATGGTTACCCAAGAATCGACATCTCTGTCCGACGATGCGGTATCACCTCAACAAGAACGGGCAACAATGGAAATCGTGAATTGAACGAACCGTCTCTAGCGAGATGAGAAAGATCAAGGGAAAGACAATGATGAAAAACAATGCAATTAAGAGATCTTTGACAAGTCACATTGGAAAATAATGGTACGTATTAATTGAGCATTCTTGCAAAAGATGATTTTGTTATCGGTTTAATAACGATACTTTGATACACATACACATTCAAAAAGTAAAAAAAAAGATTTATAAATTTTGTATTCCCCTTTTATCATACATATATAATTTAAAAAAATATATTAATTGTTTATGATTTACAAAAGTTTATAATATATTTTAAAATATAAGACTCTCTATTAGAATTTGTTGAATTAACAAAAGTAAATAGTGCAATTAAATTACGATGAAATTAATAATTTTTTTGTTTAAACTCGTGTAAAGATATACGATAGATATACAATATACGATTCGCCGTGTTATTATTGCACTACTGTGTGTCTTGGTATCTGTTGCTACTATCATCATCCATTATTGTCGATATCTTATAATCCACAAATTATATTCAATTATTATGTAAAATAACAAACAAAGATTTAGAGAAGAAAATATGTTAAAGAATTATATGTTATTATTAAACTGCATATATATAATTGTGGAAAAGTGCATTTTGAACCTGCTTTCGATATCATACTTATAATTTCTGCTTATATGATGGATAATGTGCGACGATACCGCTTTTTAGCGATTCTCGATGCATAAAAGTGAGCCAATTTGAAAATCTGGCACCCTGTCCCCCTGAATGCAGTCACAGGAGCCCCACGCGCTCTTTAACCAGCGCGATATAAACATACACGTTGGAATTAATGATACACCGTTTAGTTACGCGTCAGTTGATTTTCCCAGGACGGCGGCTTTGTGCGTTTTAAGGTGGGGGAGAGCAGGGAGAAGAGGACCGTGTCTTAGGGGGTCCGACACACGCTCTTCAATATGTCACTGTGGCTAATTTTAGGGGCCAACTACCGGCCACACTAGCAATTCGGGGCGCCCTCATCCCCAAAAGTGAAAGGGACATATCGTACTCTGTAACAAACTATAAGTGATCCTGTTGATTTTCCATTACATTAGGAACGTTATCAGCATGGAAAACGTTGGTATCATACTATTTTCTTATATCAGTTGTAATCGAAATGTATCATGAAAGAACTTAGAAGAGAGAGAGAGAGAGAGAGAGAGAGAAAATTAAAATTCTAAACTAAGTTTTAAAATATAGTCATATTAGAAAAATGCTAAAAATAATATTTTATGATGAGATCGGAAATTAAAAATATAACAAAATTGTTTTCTGTCACATATCTGATAATGATTGACTTCATTATGCATATCAGACTATGGATATTTATATCCATTGTGACTATGCATATTTATCTACGTGTTTTTGTGTTCATAAATATGTAGAAATTTCTCATTGTATTCTTTAACAACGTGCGTCTGTAAAATTTAAGGACTGACAACTAAATTAGCTATTATATATTTAATTGTTTTATAATAATATAGCAACTTTTTTTTAAATTAACAAATTACACAAATATATATTTTTGGATCATTATATTAATATGCAGAATGCATAGAGAGATAAAGGATTAGATGAATATATTAAATAATTTAATTTTACATATTTTGGAATGGAACGGTTACGCGTGATTTCTTTCTGCAAAGTTATTTTTATTGTTCTGATATCTTTTGTTAATTAAAAAAAGTAAAATATATTACTTTTATGTTTATCATTTTAAAGCAATAAGATATTCTCACTTTCGAAATAGTTTTTGTTTAATTACCCTGTACAAATAATGAAATGATTCTTGTTAGTTAAACTCTAAATTATGTGGAATAAATTGTCAAAAAATTTTGGATTTTTAAATTCTAGATATTGAAAAATATATAGTCTGATATATATACCTAATAGTGCTAATTATTTTATATGTGTCAGAAAATAATTATTATATCTTTAGTTTAATACTATTATAAAATTTTATTTTCATAACGTTCTTCTAAAATAACTGTATTCAAAGATCTATTCTCGAAATTTAGTTCCTTTCCATATAATTACATTCAATTAATGGAGTATCGGAAATCACTGCGTCAATGCTGACTCGTCATCGCCGGCAAGTGAGTTACTCCGCCGAATGATTCGGCGGCGCGTTACATAATTGTCAGGCTAGTCAGTCATCGGGCGAATTTTCCAGGCACAGCAAATTTCGTGCTAACAGGCGCGGCAATAAATTATAAAAGATGATCGGTAATTAACAGTAACTGCAACTGGATAGCGTTTATGCCGCCGCTATGGAATATACGCCCGATGCCTGTAGCTGACTCTTTATGGTAGGGTGTGCTTATGACGTGAATTATTAGCCCTTGGGTCCTGCAGAGCCTTCGGGCTATGTGTATATACGTATATGCGCATGTATATTGTGTTTCTCCCTGTGTATGTGAGTACGGGCGTGGCCTGACGAGGGTGTCGGGCGTGGCTACGTACCAACCCCGAAAAAGCCATCCTAGAGAGAAAGAGAGAGAGAGAGAGAAAGAGAGGGAGAGGACTGAACGAGTATACATTGTGAATTGATTCAAGCTGGATCCCCCATTTTGTCCATGTGAGTGTACAATCTGCAAAATCTTCTTTTCTTGTTAGCACAAAAGGCGCCTTAAAGCAATCGAACAACACTTTCTTTCCGTAAACGTTCTTCAACGATATAAATAAGATCGATTTAGATACGTTAAAAGATAAATTTTTAAACGCATTTAAATAAGATAGACAGAAAGCGAACTTTAAGACAGAAAAATGCTAATAATAACGAAAACATCGCGATGCGCGCAAGAAATCGCGTAAAACTTATTGCTAAAGAAAAATGGCAAAGTACGATGTAAAAAAAAATATTACAACTAATATTCGGTTAAATATAATAAAAATAAAATATGATAAGCAAGGGGTAGATTGAACATAAAAATTTAAACAGTTTTCATGAGGAATTAAGATATAAACAGATGATAAAACGTTTATCTTTTCATTGATTTTAATATGGAAATTTGTATGTAAAAAATGTAATATCTGACTTAATTACTAGGATAGAGAGAATTAATGTCAAATAATCGTAATAAATAATTGCTCGAATCAAAATTTTTTTTCTATTTTCAATTTAATTTTTCTTACGCTTATAAATTCATGGATTTCGATTTTACTTTATGTAGAAATTGAGAAATCTTCTACTTCAAATAGTCAGTAAACAAAAGGTTTTCCACTTATTATTGGAGATTTAAAAGAGAAGCTTTCGACAAAATTGTGGATTAAATAGTTTCAAAAGAGCGATCCGATTGTGTTTAAAATACCAAAGTAGATGTTAGATTAAAAATTTGTGATCGAAAATAGGAGAAAAATTTCAACTCGGACCATCTGCAAAGTTTTTTTTTTCTAAAAAGGAATCGATTTATGATTAGGGAAAATATATAGATAATATGTTTGATAAAAGTATTATATTTTCTGGAAATTTCTAGACTGTATTTTCGTAATAGAATACAACGGCGACGAAATCGTGAGTGTATCTCATTATTTGGTTTACTTCTTCGCGGGGTGGAGATCTTCGATATCTTGGGGATGATGGCGGTGGAATGAGGGATAGGAGAGAAGAAACGATGTGGAAGAGAGAGAGAGAGAGAGAGAAAGAAAAAGAGAGAGAAAGAGAGAGGAACATGAAGGAGGAAAAGAAGGACGTGGAGGAAAGCCACGTTGCGGAGAAAGAGACAGGATTCGGAAAAGCCTTCGCCATCGTACCAGACCGCCGTGTCTGCGTTTGTACAGTGGTAATGGGCTGTCAGTAGCAGACGTTCGCTGCTCGTGCCTTATACACCAACACCATTATTCTCCTGCTATCCCGGGTTAGGTTCTATCGGTTCGCGAACCCGCTCTCATCCCATCCCTCTATCTCTTTCCCAGCTACGCGGCGCATTTCTCGTCGTTACCGTCGGTTTTTTACTCCATTTAATGCCGGCACTTTTTTGGGTACAAATGTGATTCTTTTAACATTTTATATAAATCTCTCTATAATATTTATCTAATTCTCTAATCCTGTTGACTTTTTTTTTCGTCCAAATCCATTTTGGATCACAGCGTTATTTATTTCTGATAATTATTTATAATAAAGAAATTTTTAAAATTTTTTTTCTTTCCCAACACATATACAAAACACAATAAAATATACAACATACATCACACATTATATACACAAAACAAATATAAGATGATAACTTTCTATTTAAAAATTCGTATGTCGCAAAGTAAGTTCAAAATTTAATTTTAAATTTTGGCAATTAAACTTTAAATTAAATTTTGTTGAAAATAAAGTTTCAAAATGTATATTGTTTGATTAAATATTTAAAAGACAAGTTTTTTTTATTTAATTGTCAAACATAAATTTTATATTAATTGTCATAACTTTTTTCATAATTTCTTCTTTCAAAATTAAAATTAGAAGAAAACAAATATCAAACTACATTACAATTAAAATTAATTAATATATTGTTGAAATTGATATGGAAACTTTTTATTATACATATAAAATCCACACACACACACATACAACCAAAGTAATTTAAAAAATGTTTTCTTACGTGCATAGAAAATCATATAAACTCTTTTTATTCTTTAGATCTTATTGTGAATTTTTCTGTAGTAGATTTCTTGCAAATAATTATAATAATAACACACACGTGATAACGATTTAACTAACTCGGCAATCAGTTCAATCTACCTCTTGCTTATCATATTTTATTTTTATTATATTTTTTTACGTTGTATTTTGCCATATTTCTTCAGCAATAAGCTCTACGCGATTTTTTGGGCGCATCATGATGTTTTCGTTATCGTCAGCATTTTTCCGTCTCGAGTTCGCTTTTTGTCTATCTTATTGGCTTTGCGGAAAACGATGAAAATTCCGACCAAACCCCGCTACCGGTTCTTTCGCCTCGGCCAGCCCCATATATTCGCCAACCATTCTCCCCCTCCTCCTACATACCTTCCTCTTCTCAAGTAATCAATACTATGAGGCATCCTGCACAAGACAGGTACGGCGCTGGTCCAGATTTTAGAACCAAAGAGACCGGGCATAGTATCTCTCTCTCTCAGAAAGGCAGAAAAACTCAGTTTATGTTATTTCGAAAGAGAGTTATTCGAGAATATGTATACATGAGTTATATTTGACAATTCAATAGTTTTCCATTTTATATTAGGGCAAAATCAATACACAATGTATGATAAATATACGCCAAAGAAAGAGAGAGAATAATGTCTGATCAAACTTCTTTTTATATGTTTAGCTTTATATTCTGTATTAATTTCCAATATAATATAACGCAATATAAGTCGCAAATTAATTAAATGTTTAACATTAAATGTTTTTAAATTTCTATTAAAAAATACAATTATTAAAATGAAATTTTTTTATTTTAATTCAAAGGATTTCAGATCATATATTTAAAGAGCGTACGTTTCGGTTCCCTTTTTAGGGACCATCTTTAGCGGAATTTTTATTCACATAAACATTAATAATGTAAATATAAATTAAATAAATGCAAAACGTAACGATGCCAGATAGAAAAAAGATCGAGTACAAAAAATAAAAATTCGAAATGTCGTACCTTGGCTTCATTGTCAGGCAGAACATCGTATGAAACTTCTTTCTGTTCCCTTATCTCCATCTGTGCTTGGTATATCCTTTCTCTAATATCCCCCACTGACGTTTCACCCGTAGCAACTATGTGTTCAATTTTCTTAATCCGCTTTTCCCTTTTCTTATTAAGTTCAATTATTTTGCCTTCTGTGTCCCTATTAATAAACTCTTGCATCTCATTTGCTTTACTCTACGACAAAGAAATTAATTAACCTTATTATATCTGTGTACTTCAAACGAAACACTTTTCCTACATCATCAGATTTAAAGGATGTCTGATATTTTTAGATAACATATAGATGCCTTTTAAACATCTTTTTTATTCTGGCCAATAAACAACAATTACCTGGAAATTGCTGATTTTATCTTCAAATCTCACCACTGATGTCTCAAGATCTCCATTTATATTACCTAGTTCTTCTTTCAAATCATTAATATGGCTTGTCCAGCAGACATCGCAAAATCTCTGTAACAGAGAAAATATTGTGTAAATTAAAATATTGAAAAACTAATAGATATATATATTTTATACATCTATTAGCTGTTTATTATTTTTTTTTTTTTTACTTCATTATTTTCTTTATTTCATAAATACAGTTGATTTTCTAATAATTACAATCAGAATTTGATTGTAATAGATTATGGTAATTGATTATGTTAACTTCAAAATATATATACCATAAATTACTTACGCGTTTACAGTGCTTACACTTATTCTCGCAAATTTCACCGCAGGTACGGCATTTCTTATCTCGGATCTTCGGCGGTAAGGGCGCAAAACTTACCGCACTTTTTGACTCTTTCTTATCATTAGCGATTACTACTACATTGCAGACCGGGCACATAGTACTGCCATCTAAAATAAACGCGCGATTAATTATATGGCAAACATTTTGGCTAACGTTTGCTTAAAAGTTTAGAGGGCATAATCGAAATATTATTCGATTTTATGTGTAATATTATTATTATTATTATTAATATAAAATTATTTTTTACTCTTTAATTATATCGTAATTTTTTTAATACGTGGCAATTAAATAAGTACCTTTTTTATATGATATCGTAAGTCGATTTTTGAAACATTGCAGGCAGAAAGTATGACGACATTTCATCATTTTGGGTGATTTTACCTTGCCCTTGCATACAACGCATTGCGATACATCAATAGCTCCGAGCGAAGCCGTCCTATTACGGAATAAATTAATAAAAATTGATGATACAATAATTAATAATTGTGAAATTAATAACGATGTTTCTAACAGCAAATGTAAACAATAATTGTCTAACGCTGTGCACTTGTGTTACACAAGAAAAGAGCAATAGCTTGCATAGAATATTTATGTTATTGTTGCAAATTTGATCAATTATATTTATTATATGTATCATCAGTTACAAAACATTTCTTAATAAAATAAAATATTTAACAATCATACTTGCGATGATGCATATTTTGCTTTCTTGATGAAACATTTTTAGATCCTGTCGATTTCCTGCCAAGAGAAGCAGACCGCGAGAAGGGATGTGGCAATTGTTGCTTAACCATTGTTTTCTTGTATTTTAGAATTATGTCATAATTAAGTAAGAAAAAGCTTGAATTCTTATATATTCTTCTATATTCTTTAATTAATTAATTTACTTTATATTAGCATATATTCATTTCGACTTTATATTTTTCACATTAATGCACAGTTTACAGTGGAGGAATCGCATGGAATTACACGAAATTTGATACTTTAAATATTATTTATGATATTTTTTACGTTATTTTTTGTGAAAATGGAATATTATGGTACTGTCTTGTCATATATTCTGATAGAAACTGATAAAAAATATTCAAGCGATTTATCTCATCGCGGCCATCAATAGCAATAATGAATCATATCACGATAAGATAAAAGTTGTCATGAAAATCGCTTATTCGATTTAATAAAATTAGAAAAGTTATGAAGGCATTTATTTGAAACTTCACAATTATAAAATTTATTTATAAATATATTAGAATAAAGGATAAATATATATATTTACACATACACACATATCAACATACCCCATACAGCACAGATCATTGCGATTATATTGCAGCAACATTGCAATGTTGCAAATTGCAACAATGTATCGTCATTAATTACACATTTGTATACCCAAAAATAAATATATATACATCATTGCAAATTCATTACATTGCAATGTTGCTATAATATTTTGTTGCAATATTCCTGAAAGCGGACATTTTATCATTGCTGCAATTCCACAGCAATGATGCAGCAACATTTTGCAGTGAATTTGCAAAGTTGCAATATTGCGGTGAAAGATTGCTACAATATGTATGCAATCTTTGTGTGCTGTATGGGACTATACATTCACTCGTGCGTGCAATTATGTAAAGTGATAAAGAATTCCTTATCCGGTTTCTTTTTAAATACATTAAAAAAAAAAAGATATGCCGTTCTTTATATTCTGTTTCTGATCTAATCATATTCGAATGCAGCGTAAAATTTTACGCATGCAATGTTATAGGGGCGCCACTGTACGAAAGGCCGGCATGCATCCAGCATGAGATATGCAGTGTTGTTAGATGGGCTATCTTTGTCGCGCATGCGCATTGAATTTGGTGGCAATGAAGATTTTAATTAGTTACAATTTTTTTCGCCCTATCTCATATCCAGTTACGTATAGAGATCAGTGGATTTGTCCCTATTTGTCCCTCAATTTAACAACACTGGCCGTCATCCGCTATGGCCTGCTATCTGTCAAGCATGCTATAGCATAGCCACTCTTATTGTTTAGACGTATGTGTGTGTGTGTGTGTGTGTTTCAGGCTCTTCTCTCTACTTTTATAAACACATAGTGTTAGCAATTTTTATTTTGTTTGCTCTGCAATTAAGTTAATCGGAATTTAATCGAAGTGGTTCTTAATTGATAACTTGGGCTCATATTATATAATAAAAGTGTTTTTATTTAATACCACATGCAATATGAACAAAAATATCACGATGCAAATCCCAATGTAAGAGACAATGATATTCAGCAAATGTAATATTGTTCGATGAGAAACTCTAAACAGGTGATCTATAGGACAACGCGGTAACAAAAAATCGACCGCTAATCATGTTCACGTAAGTATTAATGAATATTTTTTTCCGAATTTTTTGTGATTCGATATTAATATTTCGTCGATTGAGAAAAATTGTTCAAATTAAACGAAATAAATTAAATGAATCATGGGATTGACAAAATATAAAATTAATTTATTATAATCTCGTTTTGTCTCTCAAGATTTTCTCTCAATTTTTATATTCAAAAGATTTTTTTTTCTTTCCTTATAAACTGCTAAGGCTTGTTTGCTCTTTTAGGATAGAAAAATAAGGGATACGGGTTAAATGCCCTTGTTACGCAAGTTGCTATTAAGACTGACAATCCTTGTGTTGCTTCTGGTAGCCCTCTATTGCTATCAGACATCCAATGGTGGGCACTGGATTGTGCCCAATCTGCGAATGCAAAATGCAAGCCTGGGAAATCTTACAACCACCTTAATGATAGCCAATTATTCCATTGAAATTGTTCAAGACAATTATTTATCTTCGACAGCAAGCACTCTGCCACATGATTGGACAGAATATTACAACATTTGGTGTATCTTTACCAAAGTTGCTTCAAATTCGCCCATGAGACGCAAGTTTCAAATATTTGTAGATTCCTTGCTCAGATTGACCTCTGTAAATATTGCTTTCCATGTAATAAGCGATGATGAGAGTCAAAGTATAGCACAAATTGTTATTCAAGATGTTAAGGTTAATACTGGAAAGTTTATAAAGGTATTTCCTTATATTCTTTCCTATCTATGATGTTTATCTTGTGTGAAATGTGTCAATATATAAAGTACAAATAATATTATATTATTTATTGTAATATTATATTGTAGAAATCTAAATCTTTATACATTCCTTTTTTGGGACATTTTTTGGCATATTGTAGCTTCTTTAAACACAAACATATGATTTCACTTTTTGTAAAATTGCAATTATATTCTTTATTTTTTCTTTTTTAATTTAAATGTTTATCTTGTTTATGAATTTTATTAATGTACAAAATACAAATAGAGTATCATTTAAATTTATAGTTTATATGATTACATAAATAGATACTTTTTATTTATTTTCAGGTATTTTATTATGATGTACACAAACTGGCCACACAACTGGAGGATATTGTGTCAGTTATGTCCCCACATTTCAGTAGTAAACCAGGGACATATTATTCTGATGCATTATTCTTTCTCTCACTGGGCATGCACAAGATTGCACCCAGCCACCAGAAACTCGCTGCAATGTTTGATGCAGATACAAAATTTCGCAAAGACGTAAAAGATTTATTTGAAGAATTTAACAATTTTGGGAAGGAGGCTTTGTTTGGGTTGGCTCCAGAACTAACTCCAGTTTATCGACACGTTTTATATTTATATCGTACTAAACACCCAACAACAATGTTTGGCGAACCTCGACATAAAGGTGGATATCCTGGCTACAATAGTGGGATGGTGCTTTTTAATTTAGAAAGATTACGAAAATCACTTGAATACAATGAGATTGTTACTAAGAACAATGTGGATACAATGACAGAGAAATATCACTTTAAGGTAAGTGAATAGTTTTGCAACTTATTTTCTTTTTTCTTTTTTTTGTGTCTCCACACACAATATAACATAATATAATATTTTACTTATCCAAAACAAATATTCTATTAAATAATTCCTTCCTATGTTTCTAATAAATCTGCATTAATTTTAATATTTCCGTTCATTATTCTTTGGTTACATACGTTTTTAAGTTGATTACATGGGATATATATATATAATTTTAAACTAAAGCTTTTTATTTATAATCAGTTATATTTCAAACTTGTAGACTTCTCAATGTTTCTGTAACAAAAAAAATTGATTTAAATTTGGCCAAAGTATTTTCTGCAATGGAAGTGCACTTAGTGTGTAATATCTTTTATATCAAACATATACAGAGAGAACATGATATTTTACTGATTTATTGTATATTTGTCGGATTAAATTACATTTATCAGATATTGCTATAAACATTACATGTCTTGTTATAGGGTCATTTAGGCGATCAAGATTTCTACACGCTTCTAGGCATGGAAAGACCAGAACTTATCCACACAGTTGATTGCGGTTGGAATAGGCAACTTTGTACCTGGTGGCGTGATCGTGGTTATGCGGATATATTTGCTAACTATTCAGAATGCCACTCAGAGACCAAATTGTGGCATGGAAATTGCAATACTCCTATACCTGATGATTAATGATTTATAATCTTTATCTAAATTTATTCACATGTATGCATGTGTGTGTATAGTAAATATTAAGTATAAAAAATGCTTCCGATTTTTAGTTTTAAGGACAATGGTATTAAAGTATGAACAGAAATGATACACAAACAGAGAAGGTTAAATAGAATTATAAATAAAATAACATAATGACTATTTATGTTAATTAATAAATTTAAGAAATTCTATTTGCTTTGGAGTTATTAATTAAAAAGTAGAAAAATATATATTTCTCTCCCTATTCTTTTTTTCTTTTGGGATTGAATACTTATTAAAAGATTGGATATTTGTTGATAATGAATTTCAATATTGTTAATAATTTAAACAAAGAGCAAAACATTACAAAATTTGGCAGAGTTTGAGAAATACTCATTTTTAATGCAAAGTTAATACATTAACATTTGATAGTGTTTACAAAATTTGTTTCAATGTTTTGCTTTTTGCAACTGTGATTTTTTGTTGCAATATACTTTATTCATATATATGTTTATATGTTTCCTTTACCGTGGCAATATACGATTTGTATTATTTAATATTAATATAATAATTGGTTTATAATATGAATGATTTCTACAGATTTAGAGAATTTATTACCTTATATATTTGTATTTTGAGTAATATTATTGGAAAATTATATATAAAATAAATTACGATATTGTGATTATATGTATTACATTAAATCAATATATATAATAAGTTTATATAAGGGTAGTTATATTGAATAAATGAATGTGCATACTTATGTCATAAAATTAATACATTCTACTTCACGAAAATGAACTTAAGCCTATTTCAGAAGATTTATATCAGTAATTCATAAGAGAATTTAATTTCTAAATAAATTTTAATTGCCGATCTGCTGGCATACATTTCGCTTACTGGATAATTATATTGTAAAGAAAATATATGTGAAAAATCCATGGGTATGTAATGCAAACAAAAATTAATTTATATTAGATATATATACATGTAAATATATTACACGCAGAGCACTCTGCGCATTATTATATATAACACGTTTAGTACTAATATAACACATGTTTGTCCACAGGCAAGTAAGCAGAAGCATCCTATGCAACAGCTGATGGAAATCATCAGAAGCCTGCAGATGCCTCAGCAACAGAACCAAAGCAACAACAACTCCAGCATTAAGACAGACTTGCAATACAGACAATGCTGTTGTAGCAGCCACAACACAGGCCGGTGCAACAGGCGCAATGGTACAGACATCAGATGCTAGCGATGCAGCTAATACAGCAAATACAAGAGATGTTGCAAGAATAAGCTATTGCATAGATATAAGAGAATTGATAAAAAATATAGTCTGTAAAATATATTGTAATTTTTAAAAATCTAATAAACTGTATTAAAAATATAAAATGCATATGTCTTCTGATTGAACATACACCTATTCATTTCCACACATCTTGTCACATCGTGCCACACACATCTCTTTCCTAATTATATATATTTAAATCACTTTTGCTGACTTTTCGTTCTTGGAGTTTCTGAAACTGCATTGCTTAGAATCAAATATCAGGAAAATATAATCAGCAAAGAAGTGACACAAACCAAAATTTTAAAAAGCTCGAAAATTTGAAGCTTCGAAATTCGCACAAGTATCAGGAGAACATGATAAGCAAAGAGATCGCACGAAGTTAAATTACAGAAAGCGGAAAATTTGAAGGTTCGAAATTCGCAAAAGTATCAGGAGAACATGATCAGCGAGAAGGTGTTACAAACTAAAATTTTAAAAAAATGCGAAAATTTGAAGCTTTGAAATCCGCAAAAGTATTAGGAGAATATAATCAGCAAAGAGGTGGTACAGACTAAAATTTCAAGAAGCGTGAAAATTCAAAACTTCAAAATCCGCAAAAATAGTAGGATTTTTTTTTTTTGTTTTGCGAAGGAAGAGAAAAATGCATTATGCATTCCCCCCGGCCGGTCCGGTGGGATATGCGGGACTCGCACCCGCTAAAAAACTCTCCCTGTAAGGCCAATCTTTGGCCTCCCGCCGATATTTACACAGATTTAAATTCTGAGATATCAGGAACATGATAGGCAAGAGAGATAATACAAATAAAAATTTCAACTTGAAATTTTGAAAACTCTAACTTTATTTTCTTTTCTCATGTACAGTATAGTGAAAATTACTATCTAAATATTAATTGTTCTTATAATTCATCTCTCAATTTTCATATGAACGCTACATTCGCTACAACTTATAAATGCCTAAGGAGAAAAAGATCCATATATAAATATATATGGAATATATCCATATATATATATAATACTTCACACCTTATGCCAAAATATAATTGCTTGTTATATCGATACAATATTATTTATAGAGGAAAATAAATTGCTCAATATTTTTAATATAATACATTTATCTATATAATTATAAATTTATATCATTAAGTCCAATCATTTCGATATAACTCAACATTGACCAGATTTAAAAGACTATTTCGTATTTAGCACAGTAATGACGCATTTTACACAACTCTAAATTAGTGTCGTGCATGGATAAAATAAGATATCACCTTTGGTCCCGTTGATAGAAACTTACAGTTAATCGTGAAAATTGGACATGTTAATATTTAGCATTAAATCGCTATTAATATCTATATCAATTTATTTACGATTAATTTTGGTATTATATATCTTTTTTTTATAAGTATACATCTCAATAAAGCTAAAATCAAACGGTTCTATCAAACTAAAGATAACTAATCTAATTTTCTCTCTTCACGTTAATTAATGAGCAATCGTTGATGACTATTCATGTAAATAAATGTTTTCCCGTTCTTTTTTTACAATCAAGTAAATATCGAATACTATGTACATTTTCTATCGTCTTGCGACGGAGTTTTGGTTGTTTTAGCTTTTTCTATATCATATTTACATGTGCTTAACGTGGAGCTATAACCGGATTTTAGTACCATTTAATTATTTCTATTGAAAGTATAGTTTGAAAGAATATACATAATAAAATGTAACACTCGAGCAATTTGCAATATCGATTACTAATATCACGAGGACATATTTCTTAGTTGTTATTTTTTTCTCCACGTTAAATGCGATGTGAAAAACATAAATATCTCCTTTTCTTGAATTTATACATATTCATATATATATATAGTGTGTGTGTGTGTGTGTGTGTGTGTGTGTGTGTGTGTGTGTGTGTGTGTGTAATATAAGTGTATGTATTACATATAAGAGCATGTGTTAATGTCTGAACAAATATTTTTCATTTCTATAAGTGACTTTCTAGCCGTATAAATCAGCACTCAAAATATTAAAATGCTATTTGAATATTTTTTCTTATAAGTTAATCCCAAAATACTACAAAAAACAAAATATAATAATAACTATATATTAAAATCGCAGATAGAATATTTTTGTTTTATTTCCAAACTTAAACTGATATCGATTTACATCTTTGCATTGCAAAATTTTAAATTCTATTTAGACAAAAATTTTTAATAATACATATACAATAGTTGAATAGATAAAAAAATATTGCAATAAAGAGTGCATATTTTTGTTTTTAGTGATTTTCGAGATTTAACAATTACCAATTTTAATGTTAAATTATCAAGTCTTTTAAAATGCATCCTATTTGGAAAATAATTTTTAGTAGTATTCTAGGATTAAATAAAAATTTTGTCAAAATTATTTGTACGTTTTGTTTGTAAATAAAAAGAATATAGCTTTCACATTTAATCTGATATCGATTTACAAACGAAAACAAATGATATAAATTTACATATAATGAAGGAAAAAAAACAAAAAAACTCACAAATCTTGGAGTCTTTGCATCAAACAGATTCTTCACTGTCTAAGTTGCTTTATAAGTGCTGAGATATTTATAGAGAATTAATAGCGCGCAATTAATATCTTCCTGCAATCTGAAACAGAAAACAGAAACCTTTTTATAATAATTAATTTTTATTTTATACGCAGTAAACACTATTTGTTGCAGTATATAACATATAGTGGTAAGAAATCATATAACGTAAGTTTTAAAATTACGACTATTTAAACTTTGTTTCAATTTTTTCCTCAAATTATAATTATTTTTTTAAATTAAAAAAACTAAACAATTTTTTTTTAAATATCTATTTGAGGGATAAAATTTGCATCAATATACTTACACTTTTTAACTTGTTACGTCCGCCGAAATTCCTGATAGATTCCAATAGTGTATCCCTAGAATCTAATTGAACTGGTACTGATTTGGGTTTTGCGCTGGCATTTTTCAGTGTCACTCCTGTTATCACTGGCATGGTTGGAAGTTTAGAAGGATGCATGTCCTCACTAGAACCATCGATTGTTGATAATTCATTATGCTTTATTTGATTATTATTTACTTTAGATTCAGTAATAGGTATCTTGAATCCCTTTACGACAGGCATCGGTGGATTGATTTTGACAGAGTTATTGATATTACATTTGAGGAATGTTTCATTTTGCGGCCTAAAATTTTGACTCGTCCCATTTACTCCCACGACGGACGTGAACCTTTTTGCCTGTGCATTCTCCTGAATATCGTGCTTGCAGAACTGACTTTTGGATGAAAGATCGTTCTGATTAGATACCTTCGCATACTTGGCATGACTGTTTTGCTTGACATTCGGTTCTGCTGTTTTTTCTATCTTATCCATTTGTATATCACAATTCGACGAGTGTTTATTAATATTAGCGCGTTTAGGTTTCTGCTTAAAATTCATATGCTGAGCGAATGTATTTGTCAATTCTCTGAAATTTATTGATGTGTCGATTTCGTTTTCACTGTTCTTCGACATTTCCTTCGGCATCTCAATGAAGGTCTTCTTCAACTCGACCCCCATCACAAAGGGTCTATCTGTGTCTTTTGTCGAATCAAACGCGTTAACTCGACTCGACATCGGTGTCTTGAAACCTGACGCTGTTGTATGTGTGATTAGCTTTCTCGTGAGTTCGTCAGGATTCTTATTCGCCGAAGAATTGATTTTAATCTCGTGCTTAGCGATATTATTTTTATTGACATGGCTGGCATAATCCACGAAATCCTTCTCATTTTTTGTGCTGTTAATATTAACAACGGTCTTACTGCTGTTCGTATTGTTTCTTCCTAGTTTATAATCGGTATCCATTTTGATTTGAACATTAATGCTGGGTCTTTCCGACCAACTGCCCAAACTGATCGCAGGTGGACCAGTATAAACGTAACGTTTTATATTTTTTTCTTTTGGCAATTGTTTACATTCCGGTTCTGAATCCTGAGATTCGCGTGTTGAAACTACATTCGTTTTGATGAAATGTTCGTTGGATTCAGGCTCATATCTGCTAGAAAATAATTGTATTATTATAAAATGCGTAATATACACAATATTGAGAGATGCAGAGTAAAATGATAAGGTAATTAATATTAAAGAAATCTTATTAGCATTAATTAGCACTAAAATACTGAATAATATTTCGAGTCCTTTAAGATTAGCTTGTAAGTAATAAGAAATACTCACCTTTTTTCAGTTAATAATGCGCTACTGTATTCTTTAGACATATTTTCCTCCGCTTGTTGAGCATTTTTCAACTGCGGTAAAATACTTTTCAGTACCTACAAGTTAAAATAATATCTTTATATGATTGTTGACAAAGCTGAAGTATTATATCATTAATTTTATCATAAAAAAACATTGACAATTATTATAATTATAAATTATTAAATATAATTATCATATACAAGCAATTTTAGTAGAAATTCAATATCAATCAATAGCAGCAATTATATTAATAATTATCGCAATTTCGGTAAAAAATTGCTGTGTATTGTATACATTTATATAATTCCGCAATCTATTTACTTCTTAATAAAACCATATTTTATGTATAATAAGTTGAATCTATCATATTTGATTTATGATTGTTACCCTATAACTCGAAATTACCTGCAATGATTGTAATTGCTTCTCCTTGCTAGGCTTTTTTTGATGTTTTAACATGTTATCTCTCCATTGCGAGAACTTTTCGTTGCCTCGTAATACGTCGACATTCAAGTCTGTGATGCTTGTAGATTTTTTTATACTAATACTCCCCTGTTCAACTTGTGGCTCGTGCTTTCTTTCACCGATTTTCTGTGTTTCTGTTTGGTATTTGGCGTTACTGGATATCGATATATAACTCTTGGATCGCTGGATATTAGTCTTTTCATTGGTCGCGTTGAGAGACTGCAGTCTGTGGATCAACTCATTTTGATTGTGATTTTTTGGTTCGGTTTTACAATCAAGGTTACTGGCATTCGATTCTTCAGACTTAGACATCACCTTCATGTCATGCGATATATTGTTAATTAAATGCATATTCATCATACTTTTCTTATCATAACTATCTGCTTTATTCCTTGAAAGTGTAGCAAACGTTTTAATAAATCTATCATCTGTGTTTTTCGCATAACCGCTGGATTCCTCAAACTCTTCGAAAATGTCTAGGCTATTCTGTTTGGTATAAGTAGTGATTGTAAAGTTGGGCAAAGTATTGTCCACGGGCGCTATTTCCGGTGCGGATAAGCTGTTCATATTTTTTCTATCGAAGTCCTTATTAATAGTTTGCGTTAATGTTCCGATCTCTATTTTGTTTTCCAATTCCGAAATAATTTCTTTCCGCAAATTTGGATTAGGTTTCATTTTATGGGAAATGTCGGATGTTTGCTCGACAGATTTATTTAATATTTGTTTATCAATTTCCGCTTCGGGCACGAAGTCTGTTTTTTCATTTAAAGCTTCCTGCAATTCAAAATTCGCTTCAGAATTATTCAATAAATTCTTTGTCGATTCGATATCCTTATTGTTACTATCTGTCGCATTAGCTAACTTCGAAACTGAGCTTCCTTGCGGTTCCTTGAAGGCCTCTACTGATCCCAGCGTAACCGTATCATCATCGTCAAAGACAGGCGAATGTGAATCGCGAAAGGCACTTGGCGGAGCCGGAAGCTGATACTCCCAGTCGCTGATCGACAAGTCTTCGCTTATCGCTGACACGTAGTCAGAAGTATTCTCTTGCAAACCTGTCGCAGTCATATTTGGCGTGCTAGCACTCAAAGTATTTTCTGGAAGGTCGATACACGACTTATAGCTCTCGTTCGACTCATTCTTGATACCGACGAGTTCTGATTTAATTGTGGAATCATCGAGAATGGGGACGACGTTTGTTTGCATGGATGCGGTTGTATGATTTGTCTTAAAAGGCAACGATGTTTCCGGTATTGGAGACGATGAAGCTGGTACTGGGGACGACGAGGCTGGTAGCACATTTGATAAGGTATCCGATACCTTCTGTAGCAGAATATCGGTTTCGGATGGAACATCTTGATTACCTATTATAAATATAAACAGAATAAAAAAATTAGCCAAATATTATGCTGGTCTTCTCTTATGCTAAAAAAGATTGTAGCTACATACTTATCAAAAACTGTTAAAAATGTAATCTAAAAATTAATTCTAAAGTTAGCAATATTAAAGAAACCGAAAAAAAAATTTAAAGTTATTTATATAACAAAGACATAAAATATGATAAATATTCACAAAATAGAAAACACAAAACATTTGAAGTTAAAATATTCTAATCTAAATAGATTATTTAGCATGATCTTTTATAGAGATGATGATTACATAGCGCAATCTTATCTTATACACAATATTTATGAATAAAAAAAAAAACACTAAGAAAACACTAACACATGATAAATAGGAGAAACATGAAAATGTAATTTTTTACATAAATGGAAAGAATTTAAAATTATCGACATAAAATGATATGTAAGCAAGTTCAATATTCTTAAAATATCTCCAAATATAGTGTTAGTTGGTAAAATTATTAAGTATAAGAAAATTGTATAGTATATAATGTATGTATATACATATATAAGAAGTAAAAAAATCTTAATTTTTTTTTCTATTTATTATTAACATAAATTAAATGTGTATGTATTCGCAACAGATTATTTCAATGTACATACGTGCTTAAATAACCAATTATTCCTTTTTTATTCACTCTTACCCGCTTACCCCTATTCCCTTTCTTTATTTTCCTCTCTACTCCATCTAATCTTTTCCTTTCCCTCTCCTTCCTTTCCTTTCTTTTTCTTTTCCTCTCTCTTCTTTCTCTTTTCTCCCTCTCTATCTTTATTCTACCTTCTTCCTTTTCCTCCTTTCTTTCCGTCTTGCTCCCTTTCCTTCTTTTCCTCTCTCCTTCTCTCTCTCTCTCTCTCTCTCTCTCTCTCTCTCTCTTCCCCTCTTCTTTCTTTTATATAAATGGATATTAAATACATTGATAAATAAACTCGTGAAAAAATATTTAAATACAAAGTATGATAATAGAATGTTTTGTATCTTACTAATCAATATGTTTAGATTATATAAAAATACTCTACAAACAGATTATATTAAAGATATTATTTATATAATATATTAACACTTTCAACTTTAAATTTTAATTGTGACAGAAAAGAAATGTTCTTAATGTATCTTTTTTCTCTCTCTTCTCTATATAAACCTAAAATAATTCTGTTTTAAAATTCTAATTTTAAAAATGTCTCAGATAAATTTATAAGATTACTAATAGAGATTTAAAAATAAATAGAAAAATATTTATACATATACGCCGGCTTCTCTTGCCTCATGTCTTACATATTATTTATATATACTAAAAGATGATTGCAAGATAAATATTTCTAATTGCGTGCGTGCATAATATAAAAGAAGCGCTGTTGAGTTCTGGAAGAATGATAAAAGAGGGTAAAGAATTTAAATGGAGTAAAACAAAGATTTCAGAAAGTAACGGCAACTACAACGATGGGAAGAACAAGTATATGAAGGTGGGGTAATTGACGGAAGGATATCGTTATCATACATTCATATATCGTTTGATATCTAGGATAATCACCTATGATTGATCAATCAAAAGGTCCTAGTGTTTAACTGACAGTGTGGACTATTGAAACCCGCGCGACTTGAAAAATTAAGAAAAATTTCGGAATATATATTAAATAACCAAAGAAGCAAGTAAAAATTATTTGCTCTTCACCAAAGCCGAAAATCTCCCTAAACTCTCATAGAATTAATTTTTCGATTGATATTTATTAAACATTTTTTACTCGACTCTATAAATCCTAAGCTATTTTTTAACACTCTGTATATACACATACATTATACATATATACAATTTCAAAATGGTATGCACAGGACATGAAATTGAAAAAATTACAAATTTGCGAAGGATAACAAGGGTCAAAATAGAATGTTAGTAATATAATGACATGCACCTGTAACTCTTTCATTTACATCCACATCCCTTGTATGATTAATGCAATGTCCTGCATCAATTTGCTCCTGCTCTATTTGTGACGCACTTGAAGATATTGAGTTCCGTGTGGAGAAATTCAGGTTCAAAGCGTGCGCGATGTCCTCTGGAGACGAAGTGAAATATCGCTTTTGTCTCTTCAAGGTATCCATCTCAAAGTCATCTGATTTAGACTGGCTTCGAATCACTTTTGTCCGTTTAGCATTCTTCATACTGTTGTTTGATTCTTCGCTTTGAGCAGTTTGAAGTTTTTGGCATGATTCATTGACATTTTCCGCAATGCTATATTTTATGATACTATTTAAGGTATCATCTTCTTTGATGACATCAAAATGATCGCACTTTGGTATGGTGGAAATCACCGTGCACATTTCTTTGTTTTTTTCAAGATCATTCTTTATTTCTGTGCCGATCATCGCATCTTTCGGACGCAAATATTTCGCTGCCTCAATGCTTTCCTCATTCTCATGGGAAGAAATTCTTTTTCTCGACGCTCTGAATGGTCTTTGGCAAACAGATTGATGATATGATTGCTTCAGTCGTTCGCTATCCAGTTCTGCCATGCGATCCGGTTTGGTCATACTTTTGTTTAGAGAATCATCGTTCAATAACATATATGATTTATCACTCTGATTCTCATTTTCATCACATGTATCAATGTTTTTAGACTTTACCTTGTAATCTTGTTGTAAGAAATTAGTCTCTTCTTCTTTGGAAATAACATTACATTCAAGTAATAACAGTTTCTTTTGCGATACATTTAACTCCATGGAATCAGAAAGTAGCCCAGTATTTTCTTTATTACTTAAATATTCGCTCAAATTTAATGATTCATGATTTATATTATCGACAATGTCTGGTATTTTTCCCTTTTTGCTAAATTTATCTCCATTCAAGAACTTATCTTTGGATTCAAAATATGTTTCTGAATTAATAAGGATTGATTCCATACAGTTAGAATTGTGTAACTCAAAATTGCTTTCCATTTTATGATTTGGATGTTGATTTGATTTTAAAGACACGCTATCGTCAATTGTAATATCATCGATTTTTGATGTCGTTTTTTCTTGGCCTATCTGTTCTTCATTGGAAGGTGCAAAATCGATTTTCGACTTTGAATGTGTCTCTTCTCGTTTAATGTGTCTAACAAAATCATCTTCGTCCAATGACGATCTATTTTCAGTATTTGAAGCGCAGCAATGTGTTTTATGTATGACATGTTCAGAGTTTGCACGTTCACGTGATAAACTGTTTATACGATCATATTTCATGCTCACGGTTCTAGGCGGTGCCAAGGGTGGAATCACTTTACGCTTAGGTACCTTTGGATGTTCTGAAGCGCTAGCCTTACACGTGTTAACCTTTCGAGGCTTGGGAAGGGGTACAGGTTCTCCAACTAGTTTGGATAAAGAAAGAAAAAAATAACCGTCACCGAAAATATAAGCAAAATGTGATACAAACAAGCAAACTGATTAAAGTATATGTACATACTATGTGCCGAATAGAGCAACAAGAATACATTCTAGATAAATTCCCATAGAGATGTAAAATTAAGTCTTAGTGCAAAATCGTGTGTCCATATACTTTTATGTAACCAAAAATATTTGGAATAACATCATTTTCTCCAAATAGAAACATGTATTATTCATATTGTTTCATACAGTACGCGAAAAGAGTGATAAAAGAGAATGCATACAAAATATTTCTTTATACATAATTTAGTTCTCTTTCTTTAATTTATAATATAATTTTGTAACTTAGAAAATTAAGTGACTCCAAACTCTTTTGATGCATATACAAATATAAATAATATAAAATTTTAATAAAATTGATTAAAAATAGCTTATTGAGAAAATGCAAATAAACAATATAAATACCATATGTGGTTAAAATTGATAAAAATAATATTTATTAATTATAATATATTTTAAAAAATTTTTATTTTAATAATACGATTTTTTAAAGATTTATTACCACAATATTTAAGATTGGAAAATTATCAAAACAATGTCCGGAAAAAATGTTTTTTTAATCTATTCCTAATTAATAGAATTTAAGGATTAATTATTCATTCTAATAGAAAGTCTATTACAGAGATCGATTATATCTATTAAGTTTCAAACAAATTCGCCAACTCTACTCTCGAGAATCGAATTCAACTGGACCAAAAAACAATTCCAGTTTTCATTCGATTCTTGACGATTGACCAAGCCAGGTGGTGGTGGTTGCAAGATGCTTAACTTTCTCTCCTTTAATCTATTCTCGGTATGATTTATAATAGGTAGCGAGGGTAGCTCGTCAATGTCGCTAGATATGGAATCTGTGGGTGCCATTTGGATATCTAATGGCTTCGTAGAGATCGCAAATATTTGCAAAGTACTCAAAAGCGGAGGAGACAAGTTGTTTTCCGCGTATTGTTCAAAGGAATTATTCCAAGGACTTTCCAGTATTTCACATTTCATATTTTTTATGTTCGGTTTTATGCCCTCCAGATTCATTGACGTCTGCCTTCTTCTCAATTGCTTGTTTGAATAATCATATTCTTTCGTGCAACATTTGGCATAACAAATCAATTTGTTTGATTTGTTCGCGAAAAACTTATGACTATCGAAAGAAACTTCTTCGTGATTTTCATATAAACTTGGTATTCTTTTAAGACTTTGAGATTCCTGAGATATGTGACCTATTGTATTTTGGATATGATCTTTGGTTACGATATCGAGCGAAACATTATTAACAAAATTAGTACCTATAGAATTATCATATTGCGAGCGGTATCTTTGAGTAACAGTATATAATCTACCCTTCTTCAATATCGAAAATCTATACTTTCTAGGATATAATGTAGCATGTGACATTTCATCATTCATGCCCATATCTTCGCTGATTTGATGCGGATTTCCCGAAGAATCTCGCGCTTTGAAACTACGGAGCAAAGCATTTGAGCTACTGGTAATACGCACTAACTTACCTTTTTTTGTTACTACTCTAGCTTGCTCTACTTTTGGGGCGACTTCTACAGGCGCGACCATTTCCACATCCGTTTTAACAAGCTTATAGTTGACCGAATCTGTTTCAGAACATGCCTCGACATTCATTTTCACAGTACGATTCTGCTCAATGTTGTCATCAAATTCATACGTCGCGGCTTCCGACTTTGGTTCATAATCCAACTCGAGCATAGACTGCGTGCTGATGGCGTTTTCTATAAAAAATTTATAAATTAGATCATTAGGGATATACTATATATATATATATATATACTTAATATGATCAAACACAGTTTTAGAAAATTTATAATATATATGATATATTATTTTTTAATTACTCTCCAAAACTATACTTGAAATATTTTTATTTTACATATTTGAATTATTACTTTTATAATCGCATTTATCGCGCGATAAATAATAATAGTAATAATTCAGACATGTGTTAAATAAATTTATTTTTATATATAAAATATATAAAATTTTATATTTTTATATAAAATATGTCAAAGCTCCTGAATTTTAAGTCACGCAATGCTATATTGGATATATTTATCTTATTACTTTGATTGTATGCGGAAATAAGCGTGGCACGTATTATGATGAAACTTAAATAGTTTATGGAAATGAGCACGTGCGCAAGAATCGCTGAAGAATTAAAAGAGAAAATCAGACTTTCATCGACGCATAATGCGAAAAGTATTTTCAGAGAATTGGATTGCGTGTCTGTCATGTATACATATGTACGCATCATTTGGCTTCCGAAGCCGTACCGAGACATATACTGTGTGTGTGTGTGTGTGTGTGTGTGTGTGCAGAGATCGATTATATCTATTAAGTTTCAAACAAATTCGCCAACTCTACTCTCGAGAATCGAATTCAACTGGACCAAAAAACAATTCCAGTTTTCATTCGATTCTTGACGATTGACCAAGCCAGGTGGTGGTGGTTGCAAGATGCTTAACTTTCTCTCCTTTAATCTATTCTCGGTATGATTTATAATAGGTAGCGAGGGTAGCTCGTCAATGTCGCTAGATATGGAATCTGTGGGTGCCATTTGGATATCTAATGGCTTCGTAGAGATCGCAAATATTTGCAAAGTACTCAAAAGCGGAGGAGACAAGTTGTTTTCCGCGTATTGTTCAAAGGAATTATTCCAAGGACTTTCCAGTATTTCACATTTCATATTTTTTATGTTCGGTTTTATGCCCTCCAGATTCATTGACGTCTGCCTTCTTCTCAATTGCTTGTTTGAATAATCATATTCTTTCGTGCAACATTTGGCATAACAAATCAATTTGTTTGATTTGTTCGCGAAAAACTTATGACTATCGAAAGAAACTTCTTCGTGATTTTCATATAAACTTGGTATTCTTTTAAGACTTTGAGATTCCTGAGATATGTGACCTATTGTATTTTGGATATGATCTTTGGTTACGATATCGAGCGAAACATTATTAACAAAATTAGTACCTATAGAATTATCATATTGCGAGCGGTATCTTTGAGTAACAGTATATAATCTACCCTTCTTCAATATCGAAAATCTATACTTTCTAGGATATAATGTAGCATGTGACATTTCATCATTCATGCCCATATCTTCGCTGATTTGATGCGGATTTCCCGAAGAATCTCGCGCTTTGAAACTACGGAGCAAAGCATTTGAGCTACTGGTAATACGCACTAACTTACCTTTTTTTGTTACTACTCTAGCTTGCTCTACTTTTGGGGCGACTTCTACAGGCGCGACCATTTCCACATCCGTTTTAACAAGCTTATAGTTGACCGAATCTGTTTCAGAACATGCCTCGACATTCATTTTCACAGTACGATTCTGCTCAATGTTGTCATCAAATTCATACGTCGCGGCTTCCGACTTTGGTTCATAATCCAACTCGAGCATAGACTGCGTGCTGATGGCGATGTCGGAATTAGCTTTGGGACAATCGATGTCGGAATTAGCTTTCGATGGTGCACCAATGTCCGATGGTGGTTTCGAAGGATCCATATCGGACGTCAATGATTCCTCGGAGTCAACGATGCGTTCTAATGCCTGCGTGGAAATAGCTGATGAAAGTGGCCTGGGCGTCGGCGGAGGAGGAGCTATTCTTTTCTTTCGAAGACCTGTGCAAACAATTTACATGAACCAAGATATGTAGGAAACAGCTTTTCATACATGTAATCAATAAAAGCAATAAAAATCGCAATAAAATAAATTTAATTTGCTTTTGTAATTTAATTAGAGTTAAATTTTTCTCGAGTAATATATATTTACTATTATCTACTGTTTCCTTAATAACAATAAAGAGACATTTATTATTGGACTGCATCAACACATCAACCACAAGTAATCAAATCTCACCGGTGGAGCTGAGGGAAGTGTTGCTAATTCCCCGACTGAGCGTTGCGCCAGTCATCACCAGATTGCTCAAACTTTTACTAGATTGTGAGGTTTGCGCCAGTTTCCTGGAGGTATTGGACATGCCTGGCGCTTTGCTCCGCCTAGGCAGAGTTTCCGGTAGTCTTGCGGCCAAGTCCGGATTATCGCTAAGCACAGAGGCCTCATGGTAACCGGAACTGTCGCTACTGTTACGGCTATGATTGATCATCATTTTATCTTTGCCGCTGTCCCCAGACGTACTTTGAACAGGAGGTACGGCATACGTGGGCGGCTTCGGAGCTGGTCTCCTTTTCCTCTGTGGTCGAGTTGGTGGTTGAAGGGGACTAGCGCTTCTCGCGGTTTCGTCACTTCTGGCTGGTGACACGCTGCGACCCCCGAGACTATCCGTACTAAGTGAGCTCTCTTTGGATTTTTTAAACATAAAGCCAAACACACTTTGTTTGGTTTGCTGCCGGCGCCGCTCCTCTTGCCTCTGCAGCGCCATTATGTCCTGCGTACTTAGTGTCGGACCTAGACCTTTGGCCTGTTTTGCGTAAAGAGTCACTTCTTGCAGATGATAGTCCTGCAGCGATAGTGATAAATCCAATGTCTCCTCCAGGTTAGCTGGAATAAAAAGAACAGACATTGATAAAATTCTGGACACATTGAGATCAAATGCCGATTAGAATTGTCTGACATCTGATAATTAATAATTCCAATGTAGTTCAAGTAATTTAGAGAGAATAACCGGAATTTTTACATATTTATAGTTACTTTACATTGTAAGTGTAAATAATATCAATATGATTTTATCAATATTAGATCAAAATGTGTTGAATATTAGATATTGATTGTATGCGGAAATAAGCGTGGCACGTATTATGATGAAACTTAAATAGTTTATGGAAATGAGCATGTGCGCAAGAATCGCTGAAGAATTAAAAGAGAAAATCAGACTTTCATCGACGCATAATGCGAAAAGTATTTTCAGAGAATTGAATTGCGTGTCTGTCATGTATACATATGTACGCATCATTTGGCTTCCGAAGCCGTACCGAGACATATACTGTGTGTGTGTGTGTGTGTGTGTGTGTGTGTGATTAGCACATAGATATTATATAATTTTCCACTATGTGATGAACACGTAAACACAGACACACACATATCGTTTACTATATTACAAAAATAACACCTTAAAATTTTTTAACAGCCGAATTATTAAAGGATTTTCGAAAAATATGCAACAAGAAACAAAAATTAATTTTTCTTGAAACTTTCGCACTATTATCCGCGTCTGGCTTTAAATGGCCCCGGGGAATTTAAATAATTAAATATGTAATTAAAATGTAATTAAATTGTAATTAAAAGATAATTAAATATGTGATTAAATTCATTATTAAATACAGATATTTAATTAAATGCAGGAGATTTTTCGTTATTTATTTAATTATATTGATCATTTTGTGAATTTATTTTCTTAAATTTATTCACACAATTTTGTTGAATTTATATGATTAAAATGTGCAAGAGAGTACTCACTTGGATGACGAAGCTCGTAATTATTTTTGTCCAGATTCTTCTCGCGGCACACTTCATCTAGAATTTCTCCGAGGTTCATCTTCGGACTGACCCTCGATACATACAGTTGATTTCTCGGTAGATGTACCTGTGCCGTTTATCAAGTTATCGCGTATTGCATTACCGATTTATCGCATTCGTGTTGCAATATATTCTAAGTTCGCAACTGGCTTTAAACGAGATCATTCGCTTTCAATATTTATCGATGAATCGAAAAAATACAGATCAAAATACTTCTATTTGCTATAGTCTGTTTGAAATTAACATTGTATTCGTACTTTATAAAATTTTAGGATAATTTGTTTCTACCTCAATTAAAAAAAATAGTAATATAAACATAAGTAATATAAACATTCTTTAAAAAAAAAGTAATATAAACATTCTCAACATTTATTAACAATATGTAAAAAAAAGAGACAAGAAATGTATGACTGTAATAATAGAAAATATATACATATATGGTAAGATAGCTGGATTTTTTTGTATGAATAAAATAGTTAAATCAATACTATAATAATTAAAAAGTCTCTATATATTTCTATATTGCTTTTTACCTGCAATCTAAATGTGGTTTCAAAAGGTTGATTAGCTTGCTTTGTTTTACGTGGCATACACGTGCCCTGCTTGGGAAGTAATTTAACCTAAAATAAAACAGAAACCCTTTTAATCGCGTCGCGAATTTTTTATTGACTATCTCTTTTAGCCATAAAAGTATGTAAAAATAAATTATTTTTTCGCGATATAAAAAATATGGTATTATATCTATTATGTCATATATAAAATGTTATATTCAATTTTTTTTTATATCGGACACGAAGCAAATTACGAAAATTTATATATATTTATACAAGACATATTAAATGTACTTGATTAAACGTACAAGATATGTAAAACAAAATATATTTCCACCTTTCTATATATAAAATTTTCCACATTTATGTTTGAAAAATAATAACAAATAACTTTCACATGTGTATGTGAAAATAATAATAATATTTCATAATATTTATTTATTACAAAATCTAATAAAAATTAATACATAGGATTCACAAAAGGAATCATATTAAATTTTTGTATCCCAAAGAGAAAGTATAACGATTGGTACTGAGAATTGACGTGCGAAAGGGTTAATCTAACACGCGAAGCAATGAACGCGAGCATCAAAGAAGTGTCGTTAGAAAGTGCGTAGAAATTCTCGCGTAGAAATTCACGTGACATGTACTGGGAAACTGTTAGAATCATTAATGGCTGACTGGTTGCCGCCCAGATAGAAAATCAGCTAAATAATGACTTGTATTTGCGCAAATCTGTAATCACAAATCGTAACTCGTATGTAATTATCGATACGAGTAAAGGAAAACGACAAAATCGATTGCGCACAACTGATTGTGATTAGATTTCTAATCAATCACTTTTTATTCGATGGTCAATTATGTCTCTGAGATTGTTACTCAGATCCCAAGGACGCGATTTTAATCATTAATCTCCGCGACTGTACATACGCAGCATTGCAAAAAATCATAATGTGCAAGACCACTACAAAAAGTTTGTCTTATATAGAATAAATGAAATTATAAAATAGATTTTCGATTACATGATGTAAATTAAATATTAAAAGAAAGGTTCATATTATTAATCAAATTAAACCAACTAAAAAGTTAATAAATTTCTGTGTGTGTGTTTGTGCTTATATAGATGTATACATATATTTTGTATCTCTCAATGTAAAAAGAGGCCATTATCATGTTTATTAAGAATTAAGTTTTGCTTGATATAAATTAATTGTCTCTGAATTTATATTATTTATATAATTTTTATGAACCGCTAAACAGATTATAAAATCTTATAATCAAAAATGCACTATCTTTATATAAAATATCTAGTTTAAATTACCTGAAGAACGTCCAACGCTCCTATAGGAGTGTTTGGATGATGAGAGAGAACTAAGCCATGTTCACCGATCGCTTGCAATGTATAATTAGAAGCTGTCAATTTGTGAGCCGTCGCAATCTGCACTAGAAGGTCCATCATTGGCGTGCTATAAACAATTACGCGTCAACGATTTTTTCTATTTAAGAGTATATATAATAATTGTAACATGAATTTTTCACAAATATTTTTCCAAAAAGATTTCCATCAATCCGCAATTTTTATAATTTTCATTATTTTATTTTTGTTTTTTATATTTTTTGATCAATATTATTAGATATATAAATTTACTAAGTTTAATTCGAAGAAAATTTTACAGAGTATAAATAAGAGTTGGGATACTATTCCAACACCCGTATTCCTAGAATCAAGCCGAGTTTAAAAATCCTTTACTATTTTTTTCTCTCACGAATAATTATCGTAAATTAAAGACTGAAGATCTTCAATTTTTAAGTATTTTTTGGGGCTCTTTTTGGTGCCAGAAATATACTATTATATATATATATATATATAAATTTGAAATTATTGTAACGTAATTTTAAGCAATCATCTGATTATATAGTACACAAACCTAATTCCGATACTCACATAATTCTTAAAAAAAAATACTTAATTTTCTTTAATTACTGCATTTACGCAATAAGAACAAGAACAACCTTTATTTTTTTCTTTCTTTCCTACTTCTCTTTCTGCTCTTTTTTTCCTGCTTTTTCCTTCTTTCTCTCGCTTTCTCTTTTTTCCTCTCAATTTTCTTTTTTTCTTTCTCGTTTTCTCTTTC